AAACATCATTGTCTATTTTTTTCCTGACACAATCAAAAAACAAAAGATAAGCGTCAGTAGTGCTTTGAAAATTACAATCAAACAAAAATAAAACAGTAAAAAATGATGCAATGAAACACAAAAAAAACTACAACCTACCTATTCAGCATGTCTGTAGCTAAAAATTTGCCGTGAAATCTAAAAATTAAATTAGCTTTTGGTTTAATAAAATTCATCTAGACAGAAAAAGTTATTTAAAATAAGCATTAGTAATAATGACATTATTATTATCTTAATACAGATCATTTAACAATTCTAAAAGATTTCAACAAAAAAACCCCACAAAGTTTATACAAATACACGCAAACCTCAACATCACAGCACACCGCCCGAATATAATTAAAATACCAAAAAACTTTTCTAAGAATTAAACTAAAGCAGGCAAACAAGAAAACATTAACCAAGTAATAAAATTAATTTCTTTATAAACAAACATAGACGCCAAAAATTCAGTTGAATTATAATCAAATACGACGAGTCTAATGTCTAATGATAACGAAGTATTAAAATGATGTAGTAGAGAGTGATGATCAAGATGATAATGGTGATGATTAAGCTAATAATGGTGATGATTAAACTGATAATGGTGATGATTAAGATAAGGATTAAAATGATGATGATGATTAAAATGGTTGTGATTATGGCGATCTATGATGGTGGTTATGAATGTGATTATGAGGACGATGAAGATAATGAGAAAGATAATGATGAAGATAATGATGAAGATAATGATGAAGATAATGATGAAGATAATGATTAAGGTGATGATTAAGACGACTGAACAACTGTAACAACAGCAACTATAGTATAAACGATGAAGATAATGATGACAATAAGAAAGAAATCTGAAAAAACAATTTTAAATGGAGTTAAAACACCATAAAAACATAAAATAAACCTCAAAACATGCATCTTTGGATTTCATTTAAACAGAATAAACAGATTTAAACTTCAAGATTCAACACACAACACAAATTTTATTCTTCTTGGTAGGTAGGTAAAGAAAGAAAAAAAAATTTTGCTGACTGCTTAGTAGACTGACTCTATGTGCAACGAAAACCAGCCGGAAAATAATTAAGTAGACGTCACAATGACGTTGATGTCAAAAAACGTGACGTTACGATGACGTGGAAAGAAGTGGGAGTGAAAAATAAATCAACTTCAAAGTAAATCCTTACAACTATAACTCGCGTGTCAGCAAGTGAATGATGACGAGGAGGAATGACGGAAGGAGACGATGGAAGGATGGAGGAGTGCCGGAGTGAAATGATGAATGAATGACAAAAATGAAGGAATGAATGAATGAAACAATGAAAAAGTGAATGGATGGATGAATGAATGAATGAATGAATGAACGAACGAACGAACGAATGAATGAATGAACGAACGAGCGAATGAACAAACGAACGAACGAATGAATGAATGATAGAATGAAAGAATGATAGTTGATGAAAAAATACATCGTAATCTTTCTATCTTCACTCATCTAATCTTAGATTATAACAAAACAATACTGTCTTATACAAACACAGAAACATTTACTAAAAAATACAGACTATACAAATGAAAAGAAACATGCAAACATAAACCAAACAACAAACATGAAAAAACATCATATACAAAACATACTAACATAAACCAAACAAAAAACATTAATAAACATTATATACAAAAACATACAAACATAAACCAAACAAAAAACATGAAAAAACATCATATACAAAAACATACAAACATAAACCAAACAACAAACATGACAAAATATATACAAAAACATACAAACATAAACTAAACAACAAACATGAAAACTCATATAAAAAAACATACAAACATAAACCAAACAACAAGCATGAAAAAAAAATATACAAAAACAGACAAACAAAAAAATATAAAAATACTTGTAAACACTGAAAAATTATCAGAGCCAGGCCCCATCCTTGTTCAACTGAACAAACACCATCAATCAAACTGCATCACACATGCGCTAACAGTTCCCTTCTGACGGACATACACACACATATACGCACGCACACACACCCACACTTTTTCTTTCGCACTCACAAAGAAAAACTCACATACACACACACACACACACACACAAAGAACGCAAAAAATTTATTCATTTTTACATACATATACATCTGTAAAAAACGATTTTAAAAAAAATTAACACGATAAACAATACAGGATCTTGAATAGTGAAAAAACTATTTACACGCACGCACGCACACAAACAAACACAAACAAACACTGAATGGATAGTTTGATTTCACTACGAAAAAATTGACTAAAGTAAACAGTAAGAACTTGTCGCTTTTTCATGTAAATATCATCAGATGATTGATTGTTGTATGATTGATCTGCAGTTGTTTGTTCAACTCTACTCTACACCCTTCACTATTATCATTATAAGTCATTAAGTCATTGATCTATAGGATTTGTATGTATATATCTGTGTGTTTTTATGTGTGCGTGTGTGTATATATGTGTATGTGTACATTTGTATGGAAATGATGTCATATAATTGTATATGCCTCAGTAAGTTTGTCTGTGTGTGAGTCTGTATATATGTATGTGCGTTGAGTGTGTGTATGTGTGTTGAGTTTGTATATATGTATGTGTTTTCTGTCTGTATATATATGTGTGTATGTGTTGAGTGTGTGAATGTGTGTTGAGTCTGTATATATGTATGTGTTGTCTGTCTGTATATATGTGTGTGTGTGTGGTGTGTGTGTGGTGTGTTGTGGGTGAGTGAGTGTGTTTGTCCGAATGTTTTCCTAAGATTGCATAATAAAATTTGTTTTTTTTTACATTCTCATCTTACATATGACGATGATGATGACGACGAAGATGATGACGACGACGATGATGATGATAATGAAGAAGCTGTCGATGATGATGTCGGTGATGATGACGATGAGGAAGAAGATGATGATAACCCTGATCAAAACTACAAGGAAGATGGTGATGAAGTTGTTGCTACTGCTGCTGCTGCTGCTAACAAAGTTGCTGATGGTGACGACGATGATGATGGTGGAGATGGTGATGATGAAGATGATGATGATGAGAGTGATGATGATGAATTGCAATGACGTGAGAAGTAATTATTTTTCTATTTAGTTCCTCTTTTTTAAGTGCTTCTCAAAAGTTTATTGGAATTTTCTTCCATTATTGTTTTCGCTTTTCATTATAATTATGATATTAGTAATTATAAACATTATTATTATTTTTATTATTATTCTTTTATTATATAAATAAATGTATATATATATATATATATATATATATATAATAAATTTAAATTTTCATATAATATCCATACAAAGATACATACAGACAAACCTGTACTTATTCGTTCGTTTGTTCGTTCCTTCGCTCGTTCGTTCGTTCGTTTGTTTTTCAATTTTGTTTATTCTATGGCTCAACTTTTGACCATTTAAATTACATAGTTTTTGTAAAAAAAAAATGATTGCTGTCTTAGAAAATGAATTATCGCCGTCTTATTCATGCGTTTGTCATTCATTCGTTCGTTCAGCTTTTGTGCTGGTTCGTTCGTTATTTCTTTCATTCGTTCAATCACTTCTTCATTCATTTATTTTTTTGTAAGTACATTCATTCAATCATTCATTTATTCATTTGTTCGTTCGTTCGTTCGTTCGTTCATTCATTCATTCATTCATTCATTCATTCATTCATTCATTCATTCATTCATTCATTCATTCATTCATTCATTCATTCATTCATTCATATATTAATTTACTTATTCATTCCTTACTTCATTCAATCTTTCATTAATCAATCAATTAATTCATTCACCTATTCATTCATTCTGACATTTATTGAATTATTCATTTATTTATTAGTTCATTTATTCATTCACTCACTGACTCATTCATTCAATTAGTATGTAATGACAAAAAACTTGTTTGTGCCAGATGAAAATATTATTTAGTAATGTTACTAGCATTCTTACCACTAATAACAATAATAATAGCAACAACAATAATAACATCAATAATAACAAATATAATAATAATAAAAACAACAACACAAATAACATTAATAATAATAACAACAACAACAATACTAACATCAATAAGAACAAATATAATAATATATATAACAACAATAATAACATTAATAATAACAATAATAAGAATAATAACAACAACAATAATATTAATTATAATAACACTAATAATAATAATAATAATAATAATAATAACCTCAAATGAGAGGCCATTACAACAAATGAAAACAAAATGTCATCATCTAATAAGTAATGCATGGTTTTCAATAAGTTAAGTAACTTTTTTACGTTTTACAAACAAACTCACGCACACAGGCATACTTACACACACACACACACACACACACACACACACACACACACACACACACACACAGACACGCACAGACAAACACACACACACACACACACAAATATACACACACACAAAATCACACAAACTCATTCTACCAAACAAACAAACGCATATGCATATAAAATGTTTAAATGATATAAAAATAATTATTTAATAAAAAAAAGGCATTTGTAGTTTTGTTTCATTAAAAATAATTCACTGTATAAAAAGCACTGGTGTGTGGAGAAGATTTTGACATGGGAAGCAATTAGCTTAAAATTATGGCCACAGGCCTTTCCTTAAATCCATCACTAATAAAAACCCTTATTTTTCAAAATTTTCAAAAACACTATTTTTTAACTTTTATTAATTCATTATTTTCCATTTGCAGAATATACAGTGAAAAAACCACTAAAAATCTACTAAACAACAACAACAACAAAACAGCAACAACAACAACAACAAAAGTTTAAACAACAGCAACAGCCGCAACAAAATATAAACACTAAAAGTGTAAGCAACGACTCTTGTAAGACAACAACAACAACAACAGCAGAAATAAACTACCACCAGCAGCCAGACTCGAAAAAACCTTGAATGCATTCGGTCGACTATGAGATCGCTAACGATGATGATAATTTCTACAGAAATTTTTATGGCGGAAGTTTTTGGATTAACGCTAACAAACTAAATGACGCAATCTTCGAACTTGACGATGACGTCAAAGATGGTGTTGATGATGATTACGATTACCTCGCTAGGAGCACGTCAGTCCGAACAAAAATGACGTCATTTCCTGATGAACCGTTAGAGTACCAGAAGCAACAGAATGGCGACATTTATTCAACGAGCGTCAACAACATCTACTACAAACTCAGCAGTCGCAACAGCAACTACGATGACGACAAAGCAGTCACACCAACGTTAACACACTCGTGGTCTCATATAAACGCTTCATTTCTAGTCATCATCTCATTGATTGGCATCATCTTCAACCTCTTCATCATCCTCACCATTCTCCTAAACCGTAGACTCAGAGGAAAAATTATCTACGTCCTCTGTTGCCATCTGGGTTTAGCCGGGCTGACCTGGAGCGTTGTTATATTACCGATATCAATATCTAGCAGTTTCACTGACAGATGGGATGTGTTTATCTCTTGCAATTTGTATTCAGTTTTGAGAAATTTTTTATTGCAGATTTCGATTTGGTCAATAATTTTATTAAGCTGGGATAAGTATAAAGCCATCGTGCTGCCGCTACACCATTCGACGACAGTGAAGCCGCTACGAATGTCGCTAACGTTGGCGATTTTGTGGTCAGTGTCGCTGTCCATCGATCTTTTGCCGATTGCTTTGAGTAATGGTTACGTGTGTGAGGGTGGTGACGCTTTGGTCGTCATGTTCCACAGAGTCTTGCCTGTAAATGATGTTAAAAACTCTGCTTGTTTACTTCCGTCAAGTTCATCGTCATCGTCGTCATCAGCGTCGTCACCAGTGTTAACCACTGCCACAATAGCCGAAACGTCAAAGCAGTCGCCACTGGCGAGTCTCTTATTATCAGTGTTGTCATCCTCGTCATCGTCGTCGTCGTCGTCGCCATCATCTTTACTGACGTCATCATTGCCATCTTCGTCTTCGTCGGCATCATCATCAACATCGTCAAAGTGGAAAACGTCATCGTCGTCCTCTTCGTCATCATCATCGTCATCGTCGATTTCTAGTGATAACAACTTAATCATGTCATCAGCTTCTCCGATCATTCTATACCCTCCCCAAACCAACCCCCCACCTTTCTCATCTCCACCCAACCTGACACTTCCTCCTACCTCCACTTACGTCAGTCACGTGATTTACACCATAATATGGTTAACATTCACTTTTTACCTCCCGGCGGCCATTTTGGTGTTTTGCTACTTCCGGATTTTCGTAGTAGCCAGACGCCAAAACAAAAGAATCGTAGTAATGGCGGCCATGGTTCGAGTTATAACGCTGAGTGTTGGTGTTCCTCTCACTAAGGAGCAGGCCCAGAAGTCAACGAACCACGCGGCCACAAGAAACAGGAGGGCCTCGCATACTATTTGCAAATTTTTAGGGGCCTTCGTCCTCTGCTACATGCCCTACGCCACGTTGTATATTGTCAACTTCAACGATAGTTACACGGCTGCTAAGTTGTATGCGGCTAATAATGAGAACAGATTTAGTGCGAGTGGAGTAAAAAATTGTAGTAGTTTCAATTTGCCTGGCGGTGAAGTTTTCATTCCAACGCGTGCTAACAGCACTCTGGAAAGATTCGATGATGTCCAAAATTTTTCATCAACCGCTTCAAAAATGGACCGCACGTTAAATCTTGAGGCCGAAACGAATGCTGAGCACATAAATAACATGGAAGTATTTTTGTCTAATGACTCTGAAGATGGCATGATTAATCGCAAACTGTTCTCGCTGAACATCCATCAACAACAACAGCCACAGCAGCAGCAGCAGCAGCAACAACGACATGTCAACATCCATCTTCACTCTCGTCGTAATCACTCAATCATGACGTCAGCAGTCACGTGGCTTTCTTTGGTACTCCTATCAGCATCGCCGGCCATCAACGCATTTGTGTACGGTGTACGAAATTTGGTCCTGAGAGAGTTTTTTTGCAGCTACCTTCACAAGAAACTAAGACACAAGTCGTCATTCTGCATGTTCGGACATGGATCCAAGTGCCAGGAATGCGCTTTCTATGGCTTGGTGCAGCAGCAGCCACTACGTCCACAGCTGCCCGATTACAAGTAACAAGCGCTAATTGCAACGATACAAATTAGATTTGAGTGACGGAAGAACAGTAGTGAGAATATAAGAGGAACGTACGAAGGGAAAAAATGATGAATCAGAAAGGGCAGAAAAAACGACTATAATTTCGATTTATTGTCGAAGGAATGCTCCAGGGGGTCATGAAAATTTACTGCAGGAACAGTGGCAGAGTAGATGTTACGTTTAATGGACTGCAGAAAGGCAGACACTGCTGAACGAGACAGAAAAAAATGTATGAAGAATTTATGACTAAACAATTTACGTACCATCTATAGAAACGAACGTGCAACAAACAAACAATCAAACAAAGTTTAACCTGATACTCCAGTAATTAAGAAGAACAGGAAATGAAAACTGCACGAACATCCATAACACTAATCGTGTGAACGTCGGTAAAATAACGTTAACAAATGAGCAACAACGTATTTGCTCAAACTAACCAAAAAAACTGAAACACCAAAACTACGGAACTACTCAGCGGAAACTAAAAACAAAAAAGTCGCATGTGCAAATTATAACGAATGAAAAGTTTTAAAAACCGAAAAACGAAGCGCTAAATAATTTGAAAGTGGTTGCCGTGGAAACAAATTCAATTAAAAATGACCAAAAAACTATTTTAAGTCATGATAAAAATGAATGAGATGCGATTATGATGATGGGGAATGATAATAAAGACAAGATGGTGGTGATGAAAGTGACGATGATAAGAAGAAAGATAGTGATAGAGATAATGATAAGAGGGAGAGAGAAAGAGAGAGAAGAAGATGATAACATTGATAACGATGACTGTGAAGATGATAATGATATTAAAAATGATTATATAGATAGCGAAACTTATGAAAAAAAATAATAAAAAATAATTTACCTAATATTTATTCGATTTTTTTGTAAAAATAGAGAGTTTCAAGAAATAAACTGCATGAAATAAACTGCATTTATAATTGTACACAAACAAAACAATACTCACACACACAGACACACACAGACACACACACACACACACACACACATACACACACACATACACACAACACAAACACTTTTGATACCTCATAAGAAAAATTTTTATTACGTTTTTCCATTCTGCTGTTATGACTTTTACCTGTAAACGTTTTAACCATTATCATTGTCAACATTAACGTCGTCGTCTTCATCATCATCATCATCGTCGTCGTCGTCTTCTTCATCATCATTCCCGTAATCATCATCATTATTATTATAAATATTCTCATTTTTAAGTATCATCACCCTTTGATATCATCATTTAATTTTCAAGTAAATTACTTTAGATATTATTTAACAACAAAATAATTATACGTTTAATTATTAAATGTATATATATATATATATATATATATATATACATACACACATATACACACACATATATATATATACACACACATATATATATACACACACATATATATATATATATACACACACATATATATATATACACACACAACCAGCTAAAATTTTCTTGATGAAAATCTCATTAACAGACAAAAAAAAAATAAATTTTCCAACTTTCTCCATACAAAACCTGGATGTGGAATGGATGTTATTTGATACGTTCAGTTGCAATTCGGCAATAGGTTGAAGGTGGTTTTGGGAATGAATCATACACACACACACACACACACACATACATACATACACACGTACGTATCATAATCATACGTACACACACGCGCACACAATCACGCACACACACAAACATATAAGTACGCATACATATACAAATATACACACACATGAACACACACAATCATACGTATACATAAGTATTTATTAACTCAAACAGACATACCCATACAAACAAATACGTACACACACGCGCACACACTCACACACACACACGCACGCACACACACACATAAATACGCATGTACAAATAAACACACACATGAACACACACAATCATACGTATACATATAAGTTAACACAGGGACAAACGTATTTATTAACTCAAACAGACATACCCATACAAACAAATGCATACATTCGAGACGCAATTATACACATACTCACATATACACGCATACACATTACCTATATACACACACACAAACACACACACATACACATGCACGCACACGCAAATATATACAAATGCAAGCAAAAGAAACACATCTCCGTTTTCTGTGGAATAATTATTATTATAAAACAACCGTTTAGCTATGTCTGATTATTCAAAATGTTTAACACAGATAGAAATTATGTTATTGTATGCTTAAATGTATGTTTAGAAGTTTGTATATTTTCATATTTATGTTTGTATATTTTTATTTGTATGCTTGATACCAAAACTCGATTTCTAGTCAATCAATACGATCTCCTATTTATGATTTATAACCACTAAGATGGTGATGATGACGACGATCACTGATGGTGTTAAATAATAATAGTATTAAAAATAACAAAATAATAATAATAATATTATTATTATTATTATTTGTGATGATGATGATGATGATGAGTGGTGAATTGACGAATGATTTTTGCTAATTTTTGATTCAGTATAATTTTTATAACAACAACATAAATAATAATAATAATAATAATAATAATAATAATAAATAGTAATGATAAATAATAAGGATAAGAAATGTAATAAAATTAGACCAACTCGTTAGGACATCTTTTTTTCAATTATTTTAAAAGAAATATCCAATTAGAGAAATTTCATTTTAAGGGTCGTGACACACACATTAGAAGCTGGGAAGCTGGTCACACTATTAGTAGAAATTGTAAAAGAAGTAGTGGTAGTGGTAGTAGTAGTAGTAGAAGCAGCAGCAGTAGTAGTAGTAGTAGTAGTGGGTGGTGGTAGTAGTAGTAGTAGTAGCGGCAGAAGCAACCATTGTAATTGCGGTAGAAGTAGTAGTAGTGGTAATGAAATAAAAGCAGTAAATGCAGTAGTATCATCATTACCATCATCAATATCATTATCTTCATCATCATGATGGTGATATCTCATCATCGTGATAGTGATATTTCATCATCGTGATGGTGATATTTCATTATGCGTCATTCATTAGTGGCTCATTAATTAGTGGAATGATTTGATGTTATTAGTGATTGTTATTATTATTCGTAACTAATAATTATGTAGATATATATTTATACATAGAAAGTTATTTTCGTGATGATTATGAAACTTGAAAATAAACTCACTCGAAGAGTGCTAAGTGTATGTGGGCGTCATTATTATTATTTAGATTATTAAGTATTCTTATTCTTATTATTCCCAAGTGGTTGTATTGATTTAGTGATTTACTTACTTCCTGGCTAAATTTTTGCATGATAAAAACGTTTAGCCATTTCCACAACCTGCATATAGGACACAATTTTGAAGAGTGAATTTTTTTTACGTTTCTATTTGGTGGATATAAGAGAAGAATATGAATTAGATGTGTGTGTGTGTGTGTGTTTGTCTGCGTGTGTGCATTTGAGTGTGTATTTAATGTGTGTGTGTTTGTGTGTGTGTGTGTGCGGTGTGTTG